CAGAGAGAGTTTTCACCCAAAAGAATATATTAGAAAATCATTATTAAAATCTTGCTTAATAATTTAGCTTTTTGGATTGAAATGTTTACTTTGACAATTTCATAAGTTAAGTTGAGTTTAGCTGGGGATCAGATAAAAAGGCTACTTACTTGCAACGGAAAAAGAAAAAGCAACTTGCACCTCTTTTTTAACAAAAAGTTTTCCTTTTTTCTTTTCTGTTTCACTCTATTCTCATTTTTAAATCAAACAATAAAATTATTATTAAATCATAAAAATGTATTTTTTTTTCTGTTTCAAAAAGATTATTTCTTTTTTTATTCTATTATAAAATATTTATTTAATCAAAATTTTTAATAACACAGTTCATTAAAATACTACTACTTGATGAAGAAAATCTTTTTATTAATTTTTTCTTTCATTTCATATTTTTTACTAACAAAAAATCAATATTTTTTATATTTTTTCTTATAAATAAAAATATTTTTTACATAATTTTTTTTAAAAATTATTTCATGAAAAATATTCATTCTCATATGAATTTTAATGCATGTTGAAATTTTAGAATTAAAATATTTCTATTAGTATATTTATTTTTTTACAATTGTTTTAAACTTAATTGTTAATTAGCTTAATGATTTTTTCATTTTTCCCATCTTGATTTTAGATAAATTTTCTTTTTAAATTAATATTGGTTCCATGCAATGCGAAATTAAATCTAATAGCAACAATTTTAACAAAAAAAAAGCATTTTAGAAAAGCATGATAAAAAACACTAATGTGATATAATAATTAATATTTTTTAAAAAATTATATGAAAAGTCAAATGATACAATCTTTTTGAGATAAAGAGAGCACTATTAGCATTTTAATCTCCCAAAAAGAAAAGCAATCTGCACCTCTCGTGAAGTAAGAGGCCTTGCTTACTTAAATCTAAAATAAAAGGCTTATAATATATTATATTGTTAAAAAAAATTGATTAAAATATAAATTGATTTGCTATATATATTGAAAAAGCTAATCTAAATCTAGATATGCAAGTGTTTGTTACTCTTTTTTTTTTTTTTTTTTTAATTGAGTAACTATTCGGAAACTCAACTATTTTACGTGGATAAATCTTGAACCTAATTTGAGAATTATGATTTTTCCGGTTCTATGCTAAAAAAGATTAGACCTCCGAACTTATTAACTAATATACTAAAGTAAAATAATGAAATAAATACTTAATTACTATTTAAAATACTGTGCATACACTCACATTCTACTGTTCACTCTTTCACATTTCATTGTTCCTTTCACTATTCATGGGTATTTTTACAATTTGATCCTTGATATTTTCGAACACATATTTCGATCCACATATTCATTTGTTTATCCATTTTGGTCCTTAGTGGAGAGAGAAGGCTGAGAGGAAGAGAGAGACGGGAGGAGAGAGAGATCGTCGGCTAAGCTTATTTAGGCCGGTCTGGTTGACAAAAATCCATTAGATTTTTTTATCTTTGAGAGATGAGTTTGTCCATGGTGGTTTCAAGCCATTAAACCTTTAAAATGATTTTGTATTTTTGTATTTTTGTTTTTATGTGCCTTAAAATGATTTTTAAGATTTTAAATTTATTTATTAGCTTTAGTTTGGTCATTTAGAGGTGCTTGAGGAAAAATGATGCCGAAATTCAATTTCTAGAGGTCCGAAAGTTCACCTTTAATTTTTTGACGAACTTTCGACGACCTCGGGTTCGTCGAAAGTTATAGGTTTTTTTTTCGGTTGGGCGGTAGGCAAGGCTTGGTGTATGGGTCCGCTCGCACGGCCCAAACACACCGGCCTCCTTTTTTTTTTTTTTTTTTTTTTTTTATGTGCAACCTGGTTGCACAATCCAACCAAATGCCTATCCTGGTTGGCTTTCAACCAGAGCGCCCCCTCCCCCCCACTCTCTCTCTCTCTCTCTCTCTCTCTCTCTCTCTCTCTCTATATATATATATATATATATATATATATATATATATAAGAAAAAAAATAAAGAAAAAAGGTCTACCAAACAAAAAAAAATGAAAAATATAAAAAATAAATGATTATTTTTTTTAGTTTTTCGTAAAGTTTAAAAATGAGTATATATATATATATATATATATATATATATATTACTTTTATTATTTAAATTTAATTTTTTAATTATTTATTTTCTTATTAAAATTTACATAAAAATAATTTTTGATATAATTTTATTTTTTTAATATATGAATTTTGAAATGAAATTTTAGAACGTTAGTGTTTTATTTTTACATATATCATTATAGTTTATACAATAATTTTTTTTTAACTTTTTAAATGAAATTTTTTTATTGATTATTTTTATTATTTAAGATTTACTACTTTAATTTGTCATTTTTTTTTAAATTCTCATCCATTTAATTTCAAATTACATTAAAAAATTTAAATTATTTTTTTTCATCTTTGATGTCATATATTTTTATACATTCACATCATAAAATAAACTATCAAACTAAAATAAAAATTTTAAATTCTTTTATATATTTTATCTTGCCCACAACGTAACGCGGACAAAAAACCTAGTTGTTGCTAGAAGAAAACGTGAGGAAAAAAAATCCGAAATCACATAAATATGAAATTACGAATTTCACCACAAGCCAATTATGGCTTAACTCGTTGTTTGTATCATTGTAAACCAATTATATCTAGGTTTCAATATTTATAACTTGTATATTCTGTGTGTGTGTGTGTGTGAGAGAGAGATATTAATTACCAATGGTGACACTACCTCTCAATACCTCACCCTCTTTTCTATTTATTTTCTTTTAGACAATACTTGGTTTTTCTTGGTGGTTATGCTATTAGATTTAATGTTTTTTTTTTGATTGTTTAGTGTATCTAATAATCTTAACTATTTTTTAGGTTTTTTTTATTTATCTGGGTCTTTTTAAATTCTTTTAATAGATTTATCATGTTGCCGTTGATATTTTTCAAGATTTTGATGAGTTATGAAAAGTAAATAAAAGAAAAACATTTTTCAAGATAGCAGAGGTGCTTAGTGAATTGTTGAAAAATAAGACAATCTCTTTCTCTTATAATGTGGTTTTGAATCAATTTAATGGTAAATTTTACCCATATTTTATTGTTGAAAATTTTCAAGTTTTTAGTATCAAATTGTATAATTGAATCTCAAACTATTGGTTTTTGAGTAAAATTGATCCATTTCTCTAATTGACATCATATATAACTATTACTTGAAAAGCCAAAATAACATCGTTTTGTCATTTTGTTGTTAATTATATATTTTTAAAAATTATTTAAACCCCCTAGTCTTGAACTTTTTTAAAAAACTCTTTTCTTATAAAATATTATAAATTATATAAAAAATATTTTATAAATATTTTAACCCCTTAATTTTGAACTTGTTTTTATAAAAACATTATAAATATTTTATAATTTTTTTTATAATTTATAATTTATAAAATTTGGAGGGTCAACCCTTAATTATGCTTGTTTTAATTTATAAAATGTTTTTCTTAAGATATGAAATTGTGTATTGTTAATTATGTATTTTTACAATATTTTTTTGATAAAATATGTATAATATCCAATGAGCATTAAGATATTTAAAATATAAAATATAATATTTTTATAAATTAAAATGAGCATGATTAAGGGTTGACCTACTAATTTTATAAATTATAAATTATATAAAAAATATTTTTTATATTTTATAAAAAAATTTAAAAAAATTCACAATTAGAGGGTTAAAAATATTTTTAAAAAATATTTTTTATATAATTTATAAAATATTTATACTATTTTATTAGATTTTGTTTTTAAAAAAGTTCAAGATTAGGAGGGTTAAAAATGTTTTTATATATTTCTTTTAAAAACTCAATTAACAACAAAATATCAAAACAACATCGTTTTGATATTTTGAGTAACGGTTAATTCATTTGACCATTAAATAAATAAAAATTAGGAAATTAAATCAATTTAGCCCAAAACACAATAATTTAAAATTCAGATTATACAATTTAATACTAAAAGTTTGAAATTGTCAAATCGTAATAAAATGAGAGCAGAACTTACCATTAAACCGTCTTGAATCTAATTTTATTTTATCTGATATACAATGTCAAGTGTATGATTTTGAACACCCATATAGTGACATCCAAATCTTTTTCTTAATATCCATGTAATTTGAATTAGCTGAGATATAGAAATTATTCTTTATTTTACTATCATTGAAAAATCTTTTTTTGGTTAAAAAATCCATAGAGTTTTTTAAAAAATTACTTTTAAGATAAAAATAATAAGGCCTTAGTCGAATGTTTTACTCAATGCACATGATAAGAAAAATACAAAATATAAGTGGATAAAAAAGAAAATACAATTTGATGCTACATGCAATACGGTCTCAAAATTAATTAATAATTTTAAAAAAGTTTGAATTGTATCACCAAATCAAAAAACTCATGATAATGAGAAATCTTTTTTAGTAAAATCATATGATGTGATTCTAAATTGTGTGGAATAAAATCTTGAGAGATTAAGAAAAAATGAAAAGACTATTCTGCTCTACAATCCAAAATTGGAAAAAAAAAAAAAAAAGAAAGAAAGAAAAAGAAAGAAAGAAGAAAGGACACAATAACGTTGTTTGGCTTTTGTCTTGAGGTGGAGAGAGAATCTTAAAAAGACCGTAGTATCATTGAATGTATGACAGGACAAGGACAAGGTGGGGCTACTTTAAGATTTGGTAAGATCTCAAGAAATTAGATTTTCAGAATCTCTCGCACATTTTCTGTCTTTAAACAAAGAAACCAACATGGCAATATCTCTCTCAAATCTTCTTACAAATCTTCCCCTTTTCGTTTTCATATAAAGAACCCCACGAAGATATTGCAATCTCACTACTATTGAGCATTGACATATTGTTCTGCATTGTAAGAAAGCCATTACCAATCAAAGAACGCATAAAAAAGACAAACCAAATATTCATTTCTCTGGTCATATGGCCACGGCCGGCGAGATTTTAAGGCGAAGCTTGACGGAGGAAATTGGATTTTCTAAAGAGTCTGTTTCTGGTTCAGAGGAGTTGCATGTTCTCGCAGTAGATGATAGTTTTGTTGACAGGAAGGTTATAGAGAGGTTGCTTAAGATATCATCTTGCAGAGGTGATTCTTTTTTCTCCTTGGTTTTTGAGGTTTTAATTAATTTTTTTTTGGTGTGTTTTTTAAATTGATTTGGATTTTTGCATATTTGCAGTGACTGTTGTAGAGAGTGGGACGAGAGCTTTGCAGTATCTTGGATTGGATGGAGAGAAGAGCTCTGTTGGTTTCAATGTAAGGAAAAAAGAGTAACTCTATTGGATGTCTGTTTGTTTGCTGAGAAATTACATAGTGATGATGGCTTATTATTGTTTAATGGTTGTGATTACAGGATTTGAAAATCAATCTCATAATGACGGATTACTCCATGCCGGGGATGACAGGATATGAGCTACTTAAAAAGATTAAGGTTGGTGCCATCCTCTTACTTTCTTTGTGTACCTTTTTTGTTCAATCTTTATCTGGTGGCTATAATGCATAAGATGATAAATGAAAATAATTAATTTATTGAATTGTATGTTCATGGGGTGTTGTAAATTTGTTTTCTTAAGCAGGAATCATCAACTTTCAGAGAGATACCTGTAGTGATCATGTCGTCTGAGAACATCTTAACTCGTATTGATAGGTATCCTCCTCTGGCTTAATCTTTCATTACTGTGGGTGGGGTGGAGAGATGAAATTTTCATGTTGTTAGATGTCTTGGAGTTCTCTGTGGGAATTGCTGAATTTTGAATTTGAAAAAGTAATATATTTGATAAATTTGTTGAATCTGATGGTAACAACTAACAATTCAAAGATTAAATCCGGATGGATTTCTTAAATTTTGATACTAGTCGAATAGGATCCAGTTCTTAAGTATAATTTTGTGGGAACAAAGAGCTAATTTGATGTGATTAGTTAAACACAGTTTAGAATCCTCTGATTCATTGTTTATTAGCAGCCTGTATATTTTAATATGACGCGTTTTCAACAAAAGACAAGTTCCATCATTGTTTTCCGTTTTGGATTGTGATTGGCTTTGATTTGCTGTGATGAGATCATTCAATAGCCTTGCGCATATGCTCTGAAGAAAAAAAAGAAAATGACGTGATTGTCTTTGCCTCTGTATTTTAGGACAGTCTCGTGTGAATGAGACTAGGATGAAAATTGAAACAAAAATTATAGCAATGTTCATCTCTTAGGCGATGGGGGTTCATTAGAAATGAAATAACACAGCCATCTCAAATGTTGTGTTTGCTTGCGACCACACATGTTGGTAATTTTCGTGTTTCTTTTTTATATCATGTTTGTAGCAGCAATGAACATTGATGCTAACTGCTCATTCTTAAATAACTCAGGTGCTTGGAAGAAGGGGCAGAAGAATACATACTTAAGCCAGTGAAATTGTCAGATGTGAAACGAATTAAAGATGTTATAATGGGAGGGGAAGTAGAGGAAAAGAACAGAGGTGTTAGGAAGAGAGGAAGGGAAGATAGTATCTACTCATTATTATCACCATCGCTTGTACAATCATCCTCATCCCCTGCTTTTGATTTTTTGACGTCCGAACTTCAGTCTTCAAAAAGGCCTAAATTGCAAACCAGAGACTAAGTCTGAGTCAATTGGATTCGAGTGCCAATTCTGCGAGGTCTTGTTTTCACTCAATAGTACCCTGTTTGGGAAGAGGAGACTACTTTCCTAGGCTTTGCAGATACTCTGGCCGACTTAACCAGGCATGAAGCAGCAAGTGTACGGAAACCATGAAAGAGATTGAAGAACACGTTTTAAGAAATTTTTTTTGTTGAGATTCTTTAGAAGATGGCATTTGTGAGAAATAGCAATCAGGGATTGAGCCACAGCTGTGCAATCGATCATTGTAGCCTGGCCATCTTAATAGTTGGCTTTGTTTACCAATTTTGGTACTCATCAATGCTTGGATTATGTATGTACTTGCTTTCTGAGAGGCTAACACGCATTAAGAAACACCTTAGCATATTTTTGTTATGATTAATTATATGGAAGATGAATTTCGTCGTGTTGCCTGGTTATGTGTTGCTTTTTTCTGTCCGCTGAAGCATCTAGAAACTGTTTGGGGGTTGTTTTGATTACAAAAAAAATATTTATTATAGAAATTAATATTGGTAAAAAAATATAGATATCGTTGTTATAACTTTTAAATAAAAAAACAGTTATATAAGGTTTTTTTTTTTTTTTTAACTTATTAAATACAAATTTATATCTACAAACGTTTATTATGAACAATGGTTATAAAGTTTTTTTTAATGAGGGTTTATTTATCGATCCAACTACATTTATAAATTGGTGTGTTAATAAAATGATTTTGGCATATGCAAGTAACAAATTAAAAGAGAATTGCATGCCCTGATAATTTGAAGTCCTTGTAACTGTTTGTTTAGCTTAACAATAAAAAAACATTCTAGAATAAGTTGAAAAATATATTCTATGTTGATTTTGTAAAAATTAACCTTTGATTGCGTGGATGGTCGTAATATAATATTATATTTTAAAATTATTGTATGAATGATATTTTATTTTATATTTGTTTGAATAAAGTGATGTTTCTAAATGAAAGCTTCTCACTCTATGAGGAAAAGATGATTGGGCTATTGTACATTTGAAATGACATAATATATGATTTGTTGTATAAGATAAATTAAATTATGCAAAAGACTTGTATTATTTCAAAAAAAACAACATGATTGAATCATCTAAAAATATAATATAATTTTAATGTTTTATACTTTTGTGATTTCAGATAACTTCTAAGTCATATTTAACTTATTCAACTATGGTAACTTTGATGGTTCAATCACCTATACCATAAGACTATAGTAACATGATTTCAATCTTCAATTTTTTAATTATCAAGGTAAATTTTTTTAATTATTTGTCCTTCTTAATCTACTTATTTATTTTTCATGTGATTTTTATTATTTAATTATGTTCTTTTTTATGTGTTAGGAATCACAATCTGAAACAATTCAATGTCTATGATTTAATGATTAAATTCATAAAAAGAATCTAGGCATGGAAATTTAATATTATGTTTTTATAAAGTCAATACCACTACATGCCTATTGTTTGGTTTTTAATTATCATGAAATAATTGGTGTTTGATTATTCTGTTTTTACTAATCATAAAACATGTATTAAAAAAAAAAAAAATTATTTTGCTAGCATCTTAGATGGTTGAATACCTCAAACATTATGATTTGTTGGAAATTAATTTATAGATGTTAATTATCCATATGAAAATATTTATTTTACTATCTTATTTTACTTTTTTATCCATAACATATATTACTATCGGTAAATTGTCAATTCGTTATTGTGATAATATACATATTAACAAAAGTTAGTTTATTTTGTTGAGCACTAAAGGCATCAAACTTGTTTTCCATATAGGTCATTTGTTCGTGTCATTGTATTGCCTTTGAAAATGATCCCTACCATGTGACTAATGAGATACCAAAATCATGATTGATGAAAAAAATATTATTTTTTGCTAATACATTTCATGTGCATATTTATGAGATAATTTGCATGATGAAAATAGTGATATGTAATGTTTTCTATAACTCACGGTGACTTATCAAATATTTATTCAAGAAAAATAATTGTATTATTGAAAGTTCATATTTATTATATTAACCATATTGTTGATTTATTTATATAAATTTTATTATTGATACAAATATAAATAAATTGAAAATTGATTTATAAATTTATTTACATTGGCTAATGATAATTGACATTGAAATTGTTTGTTATTTTGTGATGTCATGTTATCGAATTAAATAAGAAGCCAAAGAAGATAATATATTCTATATTTTAAGATATATTGATTGTATGGGATGCGAGTGTCAAAGACACCAATTTTTTATAAAATCTGTTTATTGATTTTATGTAAGTGTAAGAGCGGAATTATGGGAAGTACCTAAATTTATTGACTCTTTGGTTATATTTGTATTTGAGAGAACGATATTTTTGGTGTCCAACTTTTGATTATTTTTCTCGCTTTGGTGTCCAACTGTTAATTTCTAATGATTTGCTACCAAAGTTTTAATTTTTTGTTTCTTTTTGTTTCTAAATTCATCTAAGATTCAATTTTATCGACGTATTCGACGACAACTATCACATGGCATTACAAAAAAAGCCATGTAATAGTAAAAAATATCAAGTAACAGATCAACTCCGGACACGTTAGTACTCCATACTCTTAAGTGGTTGTGAGCACTCAAATAGCAAAAAAAAAAAAAAAAAAAAAGTCAAAGGTTAGGCAATGAAACAGAAAAAAAATTAAAGATAGGACACCAAAAATGTAGTTTTTTTCTAAAACATTATTTTCTTGCGATTGCAAGTTAGTCCAACAATTTCCACTTGATTCCATTACCAACAAATATTTTTTATATCATGCTCATGATATTTTTTTACTTATCAAAGGCAAGGTTTTAGTATTAGTTAAAAATTACTTTTAAAAATTCTAAACTCTTTTAGTTGTCTAGACAAATTTAACATTATGCCATTTAGTTCGATATATATATATAAAGTCCAATTAAGATTAAATCTAGAAAAACAAAAGACATATAAGGTTCAATTATGATTGTCATTTTCAAAGCTAATGGAGAAATTTACAAAGAACAAAAATTACTTCCTTTATCCGGAACGAAGATCGACTAACATATCATTGGTGACATAAGCTTTTTGCGGCTAATAGCTTGTCGAACTTTTTATAGTAGGTCGAGATGAGATAAAATCGACGATAATGATAAAAGTAATAAATAAAGTAAAAATTAAGTTAAAAAGTGAATACATTATTAAAATTGCTTGTGCAATTATCATAATAATAAGAAAATATCCATGCACGTAATTGTTGATGTTCTTGAATTTAGAATTATATGACTTTCAATATTTGGAAAGAAGTTTTGAGAAATCATATATATATATATATATATATATATATATATATATATATGCACAAGAGTTGTATGAAATTTATTTATAATAAAGAAATGATATATCGAGTACAAAAAGATGAGAGACATTTGGTGTGAGAAACCCGAAATAAATTTCTTGAGAAAACTACATTTTTGGTGCCTAATATTTTTTTCCCCATTTGAATGCCCATAGCCACTTGAGAGTATAGAGTGCCGACATGTCCGGAGTTGACTATCATATGATATTTTTTTGATTGGTATGTAATATTTTAAATGCTAAGTGGTAACTCTCACTAGATACATCAACAAAAAGATTCAATTATGATTGCCATTTACCAACGCTAATGGAGAAATTTACAAAGAACAAAAATTACTTCCTTTGTCCGGAAAGAAGATCGACTAGAATATCATTGGTGACATAAGCTTTTCATGGCTAATAGCTTGCTGAAATTTTTATAATAGGTCGAGATGGGATAAAATTGACATGAATAAGTTTAGTGATTAAGCATTTTGATTTGAGATTTGAAAGTGTAATACTTTTGGTAGCAACGACGATAATGATAAAAGTAATAAATAAAGTAAGAATTAAGTTAAAAACTGAATACATTATTAAAATTGCTTTTACAATTATCATAATAATAAGAAAATATCCATGCATGTAATTGTTAATGTTCTCGAAATTTAGAATTATATTTGGAAAGAAGTTTTGAGAAATCATATATATATATATATATATATATGCATAAGAGATGCATGAAATTTATTTATAATAAAGAAATAATATATCGAGTACAAGAAGATGAGAGACATTTGGTGTGAGAAAACTGAAATAAATTTCTTGAGAAAACTATATTTTTATTGCCTAATATATTTTTTTTCTATTTGAGTGCTCACGACTACTTGAGAGTATGGAGTGCTAAAGTGTTTGGAGTTGACTATCACGTGACTTTTTTGGACTCGGTATGCAATATTTTGAATGCTAAGTGGCAGCTCTCGTCGAATACATTAGGAAAATTGAATTTCAAATGAATTCGAGTGTCAAAACAAACAAAACATTGAAGCTTGGGTAGCAAATCATTAGAAATTAATGGTTGAACACCAAATTAGAAAAAAAAAATCAAAATTAGGCACCAAAAATGTCATTCTCTCTATTCATATTTCATTGATTTTCTTTTGCTAAAATATATATTGAGATTTTTTTAACCTTCTCCAATAGCTTGTATTATTTAATGACACTTTGTTTTAAAACTTGTGGATTTCAAGAGTTAATAAATTCTTGATAAAGTTATAAGAAATATATTATAATATAAGTGCTATTTTGAATGAAATATAAAGAGGCATAAAATATGTTCTTTCTAATAGAGACGTAATGCAATTCATTATGTAAATAATGGGGGAATAAAAGATGTTATTGTATTAAAATTTTATTTGAGAAAACATTATGTAATTTAAGATAAATTATTGTAATTCTCTTATGATGTTAACTATATTTTTTGTCATATGTATTTTTAATGTGATACTATTGGAGGTATTTGTGAAAGTGTTTCTATTATGCAAAAAGTATAATGATGCTTACGAAAATATTTGATAAATATGTGGGGTTATTACACTCTTATTGTACAATTTAGGTACAACAATGTTTTGATGACATTT